AAGGCATAATATGAAATGCCAAAATACTTATGACAGTTAAAGGCTTCCCAAAGAACAGAAAGCCAGCAAGCAATATACTTAAATTCTATAGTAGAAGTATGCTTTATTGCTTGAAGAGATCAAAGACTTGCAGAGAGACGAAAGGTCTTCTTTCAACTGTGTAAGTGTACAGGACCAGAGGTTTGACCCAGCAGTGCAATGACCCTTGTGTAGCAAGCACAATGTCCTGAGTCCAATTCCCAGCACAAAAAAAAATTGTGTAAATGTGTCCAATTGAAAAAATATTTTATTCTTCTACTCACACTTATACTCTCTTTCTATGACTTTTCTAGTATTCTCAACATATTGTAGCTTAAAGGAATATGAATTTTGGTATGAACCATTAAAATTCCTGTCAGCCTTTATTTTTTTGTGGTCTGTCTGTCTTTTTATGCTACTGAGCTAAATCCCAGACCCCTTTCTTTCTTTTTTGGAGACAACATCTTGGTGTTCAGGTTGGTTTTAGATTCATTATGTATCCTACGCTGGCCTCAAACTCTTAGAGATCTTCCTGTCTCAGCCTCCAGAGTGCTGGGATTACAGGTGTGCACCACTATGCCCAGCTCTACCTTAATTCTTCTCCCCTCCCCGCCCTATCTTAACTCTTAAAAGTAAAAGGAACTAGGCTTGATGAGTATCAGGAAATATGATTTTAATAAGTAAGTGCCAGGCATGGTAGCACATGCCTATAATTCCATTACTTGGGAGAACTGTGAGTTGAAGGCCATTCTCAGCTATATAAGGAAATAAGACAGGCCTGGCCTAAGTAAAGGAAGAATAAGAAGGAAAGGGAGGCAGGAAGAAAAGAGAAGAAAAGGAGGGAAGGAGGGACAAAAAGCACACACAATCAGAAAAAGAAAAGAGTAAGGCCGGGGATTTAGCTCAGCAGCATAAGCTTGAGTTCCTGAGTCCAATCCCTGGTAAAAAAGAAAGAAAGAAAGAAAGAAAGAAAGAAGAAAAAGAAAAAAGTTATTCGAATGGATTGCTTTTTCAAAGATCAACATTATGCCTAGAATTTAAAAAATACAAAGATCAACATATAATAACTAATTGTTACAAGTATGGAACCTGTATGATATGTGTCAAATAAAAAATCCTGATTTGGCCAGGGGTTTAGTTTAGCAGCATAAGCGCCTGCCCTGGCAGACACAACATCTTGAGTTCGATCCTGGTACAAAAAAAAAAAAAATCCCTGATTTGCTGCATTGGCAAAATGCAGTAATTTTCCAACTTGAAGTATCTTCTCCCCTCATGGACAGATCAGCTCTAAAAATACTGGAAAAATAGGATGAGATTTGGAATTTTCTAAAAAGTTTTATGCCAACGAAATACATTTTACTTACAGAAATTGAAAGAGTGCATATATAAAATACACATCTTCTTGAATTTTGTGATATGAAACTATAGAAAAGATACAAAGTACTCAAACTCTCCCTTATTAGTGAGTAAGAAAATCCAAAGATACATTTTATACAATAAAGTGATTATTTTGAAATGAGTTATCTTTGCTTCAATCTTTATACTATAAATGAGACAATCTGAAGAATAACGACTTGCCCACAGTGATATTATTAACTGCCTTCTGCAAAAAACATAAACAGCCAGGCCAGGTGCCACATGCCTATAATCCCAGCAATCAGGAAGCTGAGGCAGGAGGATCACCATGGGCTTAAGACCAACCTTGAGTTCAAGGGCAGCCTGAAATACATAGTGAGCCTTTGTTTCAAAGAAAAATAATTCAAATGCTCATTTTGGAGCTGAGATATGCTCAGCAATAGAGCACTTACCTGGCATGTTGAAGGCCCTGGGCCCAATGTGTAGCAGAAAGTAATGGAACTAGAGAGACCCTTGGGTGTGTCTTCCAAATCTGGGGCTTGTTTCTTTAATCCTTTTTATGGAAAGCAATCAAGGAGAGGCTCTGGAGTCCTGGGTTTGCATTCTGAGTCACCATCCAACTAGTCCTGTCATCTGGCTGCTTATCTCTCTGGATTCCATCTGCCATCTAAGAAGTAATAGCACTTAACCAACCAGGGGTGTTGTGCATAAAGTGCTTACCACAGTGCCCCGCACATAGTAAACACTTAGTAAACTCCAGCTACTTACTATTTGGTATAAATAAAGCTTCACAATGATAACTTGATGGGCATGGGCAGGACTAAAAATATGCAAAACAAGAAATTACAGAAATTGCATTTGAAAACTGGGCTGGGTGGCACACACCTGTAATCCCAGCACTGGAGAGGCTGAGGCAGGAAGATCTTTGTGAGTTTGAGACCAGCCTGGGCTACAAAGTGAGCTCAAGGCCACCTTGAACTGCACAGTGAGACTCTGTCTCAAAAAGAACTAACAAACAAATGAAGTTGCATTTGAATGTGGAGGCCAAGAGGAAAGAAAAGAGCATGTGGTCCAGGGAAGGAGTCAGGAAGCATCTACTGAGTTAGAGGAAGATAAATAGCAGGAAACTGAACTACCATAGAAACAGGAGGAAGTAAGGGACCAACGCCACGTAGATTTGCAGATATGCAGAAATTGTGCGATATCGAGGACCTGGACTGTGGGTTTGGAACAGGGCATATCGATATCTTCCCTCCACCCAAGGCTGAGGGGAAGGACAGCCTTCTATACTTATCTGCCCAGGGAAACCTAAGAAAAGGGCTGAAATGAGAAGGGAGTATAGAAATAGCAAGGGATTAAGATGCTGTATCAGGATTCTAGGGGAAGCCCAAGCAAGAGATTGACAGGTGCAGACAGGCCTTGACATTGGACAGGGAGTATCCAGGGGGCACCCAAGCCAAGCCTTCCGGAGCCATTAATTATAAAGTGAAATCAAAATGTAATTTTTATACTCTTAAACTCCCTTGACTGGCCAAATGTGCTGGCTAATGCCTGTAATCCCAGCACTTGGGAGGCTGAGGCAGGAGGATCACTGTAGGTTCAAGACCAGCATGGGCTGCAGAGTGAGTTGAAGGCTAACCTGAAAACTGCATAGTGAGACCCTGTCTCAAAACAAAACAAAACAAAACAAAAAGAACACCAGGCATGGTGACACAGTCCTATAATTTCAGCACTCTGAGAGGCTGGGATGGAAAAATCAAAAGTTCAAGCCCATCCTGGGCTACTCAGCAATCTGGCGATACCCTACGTGTTTTATAAAGTATAGCTTAGTGCATAGCACTTGGTTTCAATCCCTAGTACCACCAACAGAAAGCAAGGAAGCAAGCAAGCAAGCAAAGCAAAGCAGTATTGGAAATCATTAACTGGACAGAACTTTAAAACTCCCACGCTTTACTCCAGGAGATTGTAAAGCTTAGCAAAGTAGACTGATGCAACTTTCTTCAAAGTGATTACCAACACACCTGGCTCTAGATTTTCAGTCACTTGACTTTTTTTTTTTTTTTTTTATCTGTACCGGGGATCGAACTCACAACTGCTTGCTTGCAATGCAGACGCTTATGCTGCTGAGCTAAATCCCCAGCCCCAAGTCACTTGATTTCTAACACAGTGCTGTTTTAGGGCTAGGGATTTAGCTCAGCAGCATAGCACCTGCCTGGCAAGTGTGAGTTTGATTCTCAGTACAAAAAAAAAAAAAAAGATACAATGCTGTTGTATGCTGTTAGGAATTAGTAAATTGTCTATTTTTACTGGTCTTTTAGAAATCCAACCCATTGGACTCTGGGTTGTGTTTTAAAAATTATTAGGGCTTGACCAGAGATTTAGCTCAGCAGGCTCAAGTGCTTGCCTGGTAAGCACTCAAGGAGATTGTGCAATACCAAAATAGAAACAATTTTAGGACTGCTTCTTAGATGTACAAATGTTGGGCTGTATCTCTAGAGACTTTGATTAAATATGTCCAAAAGATAGACCCTGAATTGTTCAAAATTACCCAGTTAGCTGGGCATGGTGGTGCATGTCTGTCATCCCAGCACTCCAGAGGCAGAAGCCGGAGGCCAGCCTGGCGACACAGTGAAATCCTGTCCTAAACAAAACAAAGCCAAAGCAACAGCAACAACAACCACCCACCAAAAGTATCAAGCTAATTCTCTTGGTCAGGCCTAAATATGTTAGCCAGCTTTCTAGTGGTATAACACATACCTGCGATACATAGAAAAAGTTTCATTTTCGATTTTAGTTCGGTTTGGTTTTTGACACAGGATCTCACTAGACAGCCCAGTCTGGCTTTAAACTCAGGGCAATCCTCCTTCCTCAGGCTCTAGATTACCTGTACTGGGATTGCACTCCCAGCTAGACTGTGTTAAATTTTACACAGAGAACAAGACTTTTTTCATGGCTTTACCATCAACTGGGCACAGATACGAATTCTCATTTGCAGCTATATTAATGGAAACATGGAAAGAAGTAGATGTGTTGGCTTCCATGGGGGAACTGTCTAAACTGTACTTAATGATACTCTTCCATAGATTCAGATTCTGTGTGTAGAATCAGCGGAACACACTGTCTTGGCGCTTGTAATCAAGGCTTTACAGTCAAGAATCTCTGTGCATCACTGAGGCTAGCCACCTGGAAGATGGGGACCCAATACTGTAAAAACTATTGGCCTTTCATTATGGTGTGGTGGTGCATATTTGTAATCCCAGCGCTCAGGAGGCTGAGGCAGGAGGATTTCTGTGAGTTCAAGGCCAATTTGGGCTGCATATGAGTTAAAAACACACACACACACACACACACACACACACACACACACATACATTTTTCCAGTTCCAAACAGGTATCTAGCTCTGTCTCTAAGTAACCTAGGCTGGCCTCGAACTCGCCACAATCCTCCTGCTTCAGCCTCCCAAATATTGGGCATTTGGGACCACCCCCAACAATTTATTTTTTGAAACAGGCTGGCTTGGAACCCCGCCACCTCCCTGCCTCAGCCTCATGGGGGCAGAGCTTTCTGCCCACAGGCATGTCCTGGGAGCGGGCCTGCGGCACGTGACGCGCCGTTGTCACCTGACTGCGTCACCTGACCGCTGTGGCCCGCGAGCTCCATGGCGGGCAGCGCGCTCGGGCTGCGGCTGCTGCTGCTGGTGGCGCTTTGCGGGGCGGCGGCGGCGCTGTGGCCCTGGCCGCACTATGTGCGGGCCTCGCCGCAGCGCTACCGCCTGCGCCCCGCCGCCTTCGCCTTCCGCCACCACTCTGGCTCCGCCGTGCAGCCCGGCTGCGACGTCCTGGACGCCGCCTTCACGCGCTACCGCCGCCTCCTCTTCGGGGCCGGGCCCTGGCCGCCGCCCAGCACCTTGAGTGAGTCGCGCCCGCACCGTCCGGGTGTCAGCCCTGTCCCCAGCGGGCCCAGCTGTCCGCCATGTGCGGTCCCCAGCCGCCTCTGTTCTAGGGCAGCGGGAGCCGTCCCTGTGTCCGCTTTTCAGCTCAAACTGCCCACGGCCGAGGCCGTCCAGGATGGCACATTCTAGGGAACCAGGGTTTAGGGGTCTGAGGCCCCCAGGTCCTGGCTGAGGCTGTGTCCGGGGCAGGCCGCGGGAGACAGATGTGTGAGAGGGGACTGGGACGGCCTGCAGAGCGCCTGGCCCTGGCGCGGCGGTGTCCACACGTGAGACGGTGGGTGGACAGGGCTGCAGCTCGTGGGGAAGCTTGGCATCCAGCAGGACCAGGCCCAGAGCTGGCGCAGGGAGTGTGAGCCAGCAGGGTGGTGACCAGGTCACACGCAGCCCTTTGACCTCAGTCACCACCGTTGCTGCACGGAATTATCCAGCCACGTTCGTATCGAGTGAGCGGCTGAACCTTTAACCCATGACACGGTTCCTTATAATCCAAATCTTCCAGAGAAGCTCAGGCCTTCCATGATTTACACCTGCGAGGCAGTGGAGATTTGTCATGATTTCTTTGCTATTTTGGGTACGCTGATAAGAAAGGCTCCTTTGTGTAAAAGCATGGAAAAAGGCGTCAGGATATTTGTGTATTTCTGAGATCGTCAGAGCGAAGCCAAGAGCCCAATGTGATGGCCCATGACTATAATACCGCTTGGTGAGGCTGAGGCAGGACAATCAGTAGGGCCAGCCTAGATTACACGGTAGCAGCCTTCTTCAAGAAACAAGAAAAAACAAGGATTCTGTTTAGGATTGCCTCGCCTCGCAAATTTCAAATTTGAAGCAGAAGCTTGTGGCTCCCAGGAAAGGAGGCGAATTACTTGAGGGCCACTCACCTCCCGGCAGGTGCCTGTAGATGACATGTACAGAGGCGGGGCCAGCTGAGTGAGTGGGGGTGGGGGGGAGAGGAGCAATGCTGTTTCTTTCTGTCTACTCTGCTTGGGCAGCACTTACATACCCAGGTAAGGACAAGGCGTCTTCCTGCAGAAGACTGCTTGCCAGGGACCTTGTGGTTTTATTTATTTATTTGAGACAGGGTTTGGCCATGTAGTTCAGCCTGTCCTTGAACTCATTGTGTAGCCCAGGCTGGCTTTGAACTCACAGAGATCCTCCTGCCTCAGCCTCCCGAGTGCTGAGATTACAGGCATACACCCCTACACTATAATTATTATGCACTGTAATGATTTTTTAAAAACACACGCTGTATTTTTTGATTGCAGCTCCTAGAGGCTTTGTCTCTGACTTGTCGGGATGTGCCTTTGGTATAGTGGGTGCCACTGGTTGGTTATGCAGGTGGCATCATGAGGCAATGGTGCCTTAAGCCCCCTATAAGCGGCTCCTAAAGCCAGGTGCCCTGGCCCAGGCATTTCGGGCTCTTCACATGGTGTAGGTTTTCTGTGGCAAAGCTGACTGGTTAGGAAAAGGGAAGTGAAATGGGCTAAGGAAAGAGGGCCTGGGCCTGTGCGTTCCCTGTGGCCTTTAGTCATAACAGCTCCTGGTAGGCGGTGTCACCCTGAAACACACAGAATGCAGTACCACGCCCAAAGTCACAGGGTAGGGTAGAAGTGGCAGGTGACCTTCTGGTCAGGTCTGTTTATTCACAGAGGTTCTGATCTTTGCCAGGTGCCATTTTAGGGTGTGCAGTAGTTATCTTTGGCAGATTAGAGATCTGGAAAATAACCAGCCACTGGTCGCTGGTCGTTTTAAGCTTTAATCACATCTTCATGTTAATTACTTTGAGTAATAACTGCTAAATTCTAATTGTTTGTTCATTAGCACTCAGATAGTGAATATTTTTTATTCTCCACCCCATTATTACCAGATTCCTTTTCCCATCCATCTTTAGCACCAAGAAGTATTTGTGTATTTTTTGAGACAAGGTCTGACTGTGTAACCCAGGGCCTCAAACTCTTAAGCAACCCTCCTGCCTCAGCCTCCCAGCAGCTTGCTGGGATTGCAAGCATGCACCATCATGCTTGGCACTTTTTAAAAAAAATTTGTCCTTGTTTCTGTAATAAGATTTTCCAGTTGGTATGTGGTACTTTTTTATTTAAAAAAAAATACAGGCTTTTGAGTGAGCCCAAAGAAAAGATGAAGTTTGAATGAAAGCAAGGACAGGTGGGCTGAGCTGCAGACCCTGGAATGTGTCACATGTGCATGGGTCAGGAGGGATGAGCAGCGGAATCTGGTGTTGCATTGCTATTGTTGACAGCAGAAGGACCAAAACGGGACCGGCCTCTCCTGATTCCCAGCCCATTGTCTGTGGGTGCCAGGGTGCAGAATTTCCTGCTGCCCTGGCAGCTGTGCCCACAATTTTGTGGGCTGGAATGGGCCACCCTGCCCTCAGCACCAGGCCCTGCCCACTTCCTGTGGTCATAGGCAGTGGGCACAGTGGCAGCACAGAGGCGGAAGGCTGGAGTTTACTTCCTTGTGGGTGACCTCCGTCCTTCCTGATCGACCTGCTCCCCCAGACCTTCCCTCTCCAGCTTGTTGAAGCAGCAGCCTCGCCCAGGCCCTAGCTAGCTGAGTCAGCAGCTCCAAAAACCCCTGGGTTGCTGCTCTGTACTGCAGAGGAGTCTGTGACTCTGTGCCCCTGGAGGAAGCAGAGAAGTGTGGTATGTGCATGGTGGTGCACACCTGTCATTCCAGCCCTCAGGAGGCTGAGGCAGGAGGATTGAAAGACTGAGCCCCACCTGGGTAATTTAATAACTGAGTAAGACCCTCTCTAAGGCCAGTTCAGTTCCTGCTGTTGCACCTTGAGGCCCAGAGGGTTAAGAGGAAATCATGACTTCGGCCCTTTTTAGTGGCTGCCTGCACAGATACATGCGTGCGCTGTCCACAAAGAACTGTCAGGGCTCCAGCATGTGTGGGGCTGCGAGGGGGGATAAGGAAGGGATAAGATGTAGATTTGTGTGTGTGTGTGACTTTTTGAGCTGGGGTTTCACTATGCTGTTCAGACCAGCCTTGAACTATGTAGCCGAGGCTGGCTGTAAACCCTGCAATAATCCTCTTGCCTCAGCCTCCTGAGTGCTGAGATTACAGGTATGCGCCACTATGCCCGGATCTGTTTTTGTTGTGTTGTCTTTTTGAGACAAGGTTTTCCTATGCAATTCAGGCTGGCCTTTAGTTCACTTTGTAGCCCAGGCTGTTCTCAAATGCACTATGATCCTCCTGCCTCAACCTGAGTGCTGGGATTGTAGGTGTGCGCCACCACGCCACCTTTTGCTTTTGTTTTGGGGACAGGGTTCTCACGATGTAGTACAGCCTGGTTTTGAACTCAAGGCGGTCCTCTTGCCTCAGCCTCCAGAGTCTGGGATTACAGGTGTGTATCACCTTAGCTGGCAAGATATAGTTTTTAAAAAGGTATTTATGGGCTGGGAATATAGTTCACAGTGTCTGCCTGGCAAGTGTGAGATCATGAGTTCAATTCCCGCTACCAAAAAGAAATAAAGAAGTGTTCATGCCAGGTACAGTGGTGAATGCCTCTAATCTAGCACTTGGAAGGCTGAGGCAAGAGAATCACTGCAAGTTTGAATGAGACCAGCCTGGGTTACAGAGTAAGTTCAAGGCCAGCCTGAACAAAAGAGTGACACCCCCCCCCATCTCAAAAACAAGAAAGCAAAAGCAAAAGCAGAATCATCCCCTTAGGAAAACCTGGTTGTGGGAAAAATGACAGATGTGGGTCGAATTTAGTGTGATGTAATTCACATACATTCTGGTATCATAAACTTCCTATTGAATGGCCAAGCCCTAGCACAGTTTGCCTATTGGGAGCTGGAATGCAGCCAAGGCTCTTAGTAGCAGTGCCCCAAGTGTCCCTTGAGGAGAAGTGGCTCCTGGGATCTTGGAGCTTGGGACACTTGGCAAGGCCAGGGACACAGAGCCCTGGTCACACCTGGGCCAAGCTGGGTTAAAGGACAAAAGGTGCAAACCTCAGGAAGGCTGACCATGAGCGTGCAGGCCCAGCGCCCAGAGTGAATGTTACTCCCTCCGGTCCCTTCCAGTACAGCCTGTCCCTGAGGGACCAGGGCCACCAGCCTTGGTCCTGCCCATGGCTCCTGGTGGCAGATGGGTCATGCTGAGTTTACACTGTTCCTGCAGGACAGAACCATTTATCAAAGGATGTGTTAGCTGTCTCTGTGGTCAACGAGGGATGTAACGAGTTTCCTACGCTGGAGTCCTTGGAGAATTGTAAGTCCCACCCACCAGAGCTGACCGAGGGCATCTGCTTTGTAGCCTGAGGGTAGAAAACCTTAACCAATGGAGTTGTTTTGGTTTTTTAGACACCCTGACCATAAATGATAATCAGTGTCTGCTGGCTGCGGATACTATCTGGGGAGCCCTCCGAGGTACTGGGGCAGAAGGGGAGGGAGGGATAGGGAGGGGGAGGCTGGCATCATGGGGGCAGGGCAGGCACAGCAGGGGCTCCCTTCCAAGGTGGCTCTCTTCATGGGCACTGCTTGGGGTGTTGGTTTCCTGTGTCCTTGAGGTAGGCCTGGAGGTAGACAGGCTCCACCCTGCACAGCAGACTGCAGCACCTGGGGTGCTACAGAAGAGTCTTCACAGGACAGTGGCTGGGGTGACACTGTCACAGCACTGCCTACCCTGCTGTCACCCACGACATGCAATTGGAAAGAATCTAAAAAGCAAAACTAAAGCCCAGCATGGTGCCACACACGTGTAACCCTAGCACTGTGAGGGGGCTGAGGCAGGAGGATCCTGCAAGTTTAAGGCCAGTCTGGGCTACATCGTGAGACACTGTCTCAAAAAACTAAAGAAAGGGGGGCATTGTAAAATCTGTAGAACTATGTCATTTCTGAAGAAAATGGGGTTACCAGCCTACAAGTGACAGGTCCCTGTCCTTCCTCTTGGTTTACTAACAAGGTATTTGGTCTCTGTGTAGAGACTTAGCCAAGCTGAAATAGTGCATTCCTATAATCCCACCTAGTCAGGAGGCTGAGGCAGGAGGATTGGAAGTTTCAGGTTAGTCTGGGCTATGCAGTGAGTTCAATTTAGCAAGACCTCATTTCAAAAAAGGGTTAGAGATGCAGCTTAGTGAAAGGCCCTGGGTTTGATCTCCAGTACCCAAAAAAAAAAAAAAAAAAAAAAAAAAGAAGAAGAAGAAGGAGGGAAAAAAATAGATATATTTATTCATTTAAACAAGTATGTCTACAATTTTTTTGTAAAATCTCTGTGGATAAGGGGAATTCTCACAGAATTTAATCACCTTGGTTTTTAGTTTATTTTTTGTTGTTTGAGACAGGGTCTCATTGTGTAGTCCAGGCTGGCCTTGGACTCATTATGTAACCCAGGCTGGCCTTGACTCGCAGAGATCCTCCTGCCTCAGCCTCCCAAGGGCTAGGATTCCAGGCATGTGTCACCATGCCCAACTGGATCCTTTAGGTGCCCACTCCTGAGTCTTCTCTCTGCCTCACTGCTTCATAGGTCTGGAGACATTCAGCCAGCTTGTGTGGACCTCTGCAGAGGGCACAGTGAGTGTGGGCCTTCAAAAGGGGGCCAGGCTACAGGGTTTCCCCAGAGTCCCTGGAAGTGTGGAGACCCCAGAAGCATCTTGTTCTGTTTTAGAAGGGTCCTGATGGCCTTACCTGACCCACCAGGAGGCTGGGAAGAGACATAGTAGAGGGCTGGACTGGCCGTTGGGGTGTTTGCTCCGTACCATGGCTGTGTCATTTCATAGTGCCCTTGGTGCCACACAGTCTGGAAGAACAGAAACCTGCCAGCAGGGAGGGCCACAGTCCTGGGACTCTGGTAGTGTCACATTTGGTTGGCTGGGGATACTTTCCCTCTGGCAGGTGGCTGGTGATGGTCTTTGAGGTAGAGGTGTTTTGGGGGACAGGGTAGAGGGAGTGTTTCGGGAAGAAGGTCCCCAGCAGAATGGTCACAGAGAGACTGGCTTTGCAGGGATCTGGCAGAGTTCTGGCCCTTCCGGAGCCCTCTTCTAAGCTCCTGTGCTAGCTCTTGACCTAATGAGTGTTTGGTCCTCACAGTTCTTCATCAACAAGACGACCATCAGAGACTTCCCACGCTTCCCCCACAGGGGCTTGCTGCTGGACACATCACGCCATTACCTGCCGCTGTCCAGCATCCTGGACACACTGGTACCCAGCCTCGGGCCTTCTTACACTGTTTCTGGGGGATGGGCCAGGGTGGAGGTTCCACTTTCCTAAAGAGGAGAGGATCATAACTCTAGGGGCCTCTGGGTGTGAGCCAGCCTGATCTACATAAAGAGACCCTGTCTACAAACAAAGGAATGCACTGGGCATGGTGTCGCCCACCTGTAACCACAGCACTCAGGAGGCTGAGGCAGGAGGATTGCTGCAAGTTCAAGGGCAGCCTGGGCTGCATAGCAAAACCCTTTGTCAAAAAAACAAAAACAGCAGCAATTTAAATCTACACCACTGGTTACTGTGGACCAGTGTTCAGGCTGACTCCCAGGATGCAGAGGTGGTTTGGGGAATTGTCATCTCTTGCCAAGCAGATCAAAGTGAGCTGAGTCAGGATGTGGACACGGGAAAAGATGTTGAGGTTCTGGGCCATCTTTGAGCTTGATGTGCAAGCCTAGGGGATGGTGGTCGTCCAGGTCACAGGCCCACCTTTCCCTTTGCTCCTCTGTGGAACCAAAAGAGTTGACATAAACATTAGCCTGGGCTTTTGGGATTTATGAGTGGTGTCACCAGCCGGCCGAACACCGGCCAGGTAACCCAGGAGGAATGTGGTTCTTTAGACTGTTAGAGGACTTGGAAAGACAACAGAGCAGTGTAGGGTTTGCAGCCTTCCTCTTGGTGTGGCAGGAATTCATCTCAAAAAGAGACAGTTCTAACCCAGCTATTCCCCTTCTACGTGTTTTCCAAAAAGAACTAAAGACTTCATGGTATAGTGATCCATGCACCCGGGTGTTCCTAGCAGCACAGCTCGTCATAGCTGGATCTTGGGAGCAGCCTGTGTGTCCACTGACAGATGAGTGGATAAAGGCACTGTGGTAGTCACACACAGTGGAGCACTGCTCAGCTGTCAGGAAAAAGAACCTGAGTCCATTGTAGGAAAACTGATGCACCTGGAGACTGGAGGGTTACGTCAAATAAATCAGACACACAGGCTTAAATTGCCTGGTTTCTCAAGAGCAAAAGAAGGTAATCGGAAACAGGGAGATAGAACTTTTGCAAAGGGGAAGGAGACCAAGAGACGGAGGAGGGGTGAAGAAGCGATGAAGGGGTGGGGAGGTGTCGGTGTCACTCCCGGCCGGCAGGAAGGACACACAACAAAGTCTGGCAGTGGACAACCTTTTCTTTTATTTTCCTTCTCCGTACAGCCTGCCCCGGGAATCCTCCCGGCCGAAGCCTCTGTTGGTCCGCTCCCCGTGGCTCCTTGCGTGCTTCTCCCTACAGTCTGTCCCGAAGCCTCTACCGGTCCGCTCTCCGCGGCTCCTTGCGTGCTTCTTCTGCTTCTTTTGCTTCTTCTTCTTTTCTTGGCGGGAGAGGCACTCACTTTTATAGGGTTACAGTGGCCAACCAGTTCAAAGCACGCGATGCGGGCTGATTGGCTAACATCAGTTGTTGCTAGGCAGACTATCTTACAGGGCGGGTTGTGAAGCAGGAGATCTTACAGGGCGGGTTGTTTACCAAGCAGGAAGCAGGAGATCTTACAGGGCGGGTTGTTTACCAAGCAGGAAGCAGGAGATCTTACAGGGCGGGTTGTTTACCAAGCAGGAAGTAAGCGCCATCTTAGCACACTCGATGGGAGGGGTAATCTAGCTCAGGCTTTGCTCTTTCCTACAGGCCTCACGTCCGCCAAGTAAGGCGACCGGGCTCGGGGCTGCGGCTCCCAACAGGGAGGGGTGAAGAGGAGGCACGTTACACACACACACACACACACACACACACACACACACACACACACACGCTGCCCTCGTGAGATAAGTGTGGTTTCGCACCGCTGCCATGGGCTGGTGATAGGGCATGCTCTGGACATGGGCTGGTCGGGGCTGTGTGCCAGGGAGTCACCATCTGTGTTCTGCTGCAGGACGTCATGTCGTACAACAAACTGAACGTGTTCCACTGGCACGTGGTGGACGACCCCTCCTTCCCGTATGACAGCATCACCTTCCCTGAGCTCTCCAGAAAGGTATAGCACCATGTCACCCAGCCTGAGTTCACAGCTCCACAGGCCACAGCTGTCCAGGTCCTGCTGGCAAGAACAGCAGCTCCCTACCTCACAAGAGCACTGATGCAGAAGAGGTCAGAGGTTCAAGCCTGAGCTATGCCATGAATTTGCTTTGCAACCTGTGGGAGATGGTGTCCCTGGGTTGCATTTGATTTGTGGTCTGTCAGGTGGGCATCCCTTGGGTTTGTTCTGTCTCAATGGCATCCCGATACTGAGATTAAATAGGAGATGTGATCATTCATGAGGCACTATGATAAAAAATCCTAAACTGGGCATGGTGGTACATGCCTGTAATCCTAGTACTCAGGTGGCTGAGGCTGGAGGATCTCCATGAGTTTGAAGCCAGCCTTGCCTACATAGCAACACCTTGTCTCAAAAAAACCTAAAACCCATTAAAAATTACGGTAAAACTCTGAAGATAGTCCCTCATTCCCAAGGACTGTGGACAGGTGTTCTGGTACCTGATGGATCCTGGGGATATCTTGAGCATCTTCTGCGCTGATGGCCTTCAGGAAATGAGTATGAAGTGTATCTTGTGCCTTCCAGGGGTCCTACAACCCTGTCACCCACATCTACACAGCGCAGGACGTCAAGGAAGTCATCGAGTATGCACGGCTCCGGGGGATCCGCGTGCTAGCAGAATTTGACAGCCCTGGCCATACACTGTCCTGGGGACCAGGTAAGGGTCGTTTCTGGGGTCACAGAGCTGCTTATGGCCCTCAAATGAGGGCTTCAGGACATTAGTTCTAGAAGCTGTCATGTCCAGCATTGGTCTGGGGAAGAATGTCCTCCACTCACTTCTCCTGCCTGGGAATTGAGACCAGAGGAATTACTGTCACCCCCCTGTTTTTGGAGACAGGATCTTTCATGTAAACAAGGGTGACCTTGAACTCCTGGCGATCCTCCTGCGTCTGCCTCTTAATTGTGGGGATCACAGGCATGCACCTCCATGTTCTGCTAAGGAGGTCACTTTTAACTTCAGTGGATGGACTGTGCCCACAAATCTCAGAGGTCCACATTGCCATGCCCCAGAGTGGGTGCCGACCCTTCCCTGGGAATCTGATCCCCAGGAAAAGTTTAAAGAAAGCTCAGGGAGAGCCCAGACTGAAACCCACATGGGAGGCTGAGGCAGGGGAATCACTGTGAATTTGAGGCCAGCCTGGATGACTTAGCAAGACTCTATCTCAAAAACCCAAAATGTATATTGAAAGAAGCTGCTGCCTGGCCTCACCCTCAGGAGGGAAGAAGACTCCAAATGACAGTGAAGCCCGAGCCCAGGACATGATACTGGAAGGAAGCATTGTGGGAATTTGGCTCAGTGAGTCCCTCAGGTTGCTTGTCAGCTTCAAGGCTATTGGAGGAGGGCAGCCTTTGGAAGCAGGGTGACTTCCCCTGGAAGCAGGGTGTGAAGGGTATGTGCTGCCTGGTTCTGACCAGCCTCTCTCAGTGAGTGTGGCTCTTCGTGTTTCTCTGATGATGACTGAACAGGTGATCACCAGTACTGGTTAGTGCCCTGTGTGCTTGCCTGCAAGTATGTGATGTTTTGTTTTGTTTTCTTTTGTTTTGTGACAGGGTTTTGCCCTGTAGTACAGGCTGGCTTCTAACTCACCAGTTCTGGAATTATAAACATGCACACAACGCCCGGTTTGTTTTGTTTTTCCAGATAGCATTCTTGCTATGTAGTACAGGCAGGCCTTGAACTCATTATGTATCCCAGGCTGTCCTTGAACTCACAGTGATCCTCCTTCCTCAGCTTCCCGAGTGCTGGGATTACAGGCGTGTACCACCACACCTGGTCATGTATATGATGTTTTTGGATGCAATCATCTCATTTGCATCACTTGACCTCCTTATGTGTAGTGCTGCATAGGAAGTCTGTGTAACTGTGACATGCACATGATTCTTCTTGATGTAGGTATCCCTGAGCTGCTGACTCCTTGCTACTCTGGGTCGCAGCCCTCTGGTGAATTTGGACCGGTGAACCCCATTCTGAACAGTACTTACGAGTTCATGAGCTCATTCTTCTTGGAGATCAGCTCTGTCTTCCCGGATTTTTACCTTCACCTTGGAGGAGATGAGGTGGATTTCACCTGCTGGTATGAGTCCTTTGGTCCCCCCATACTCCAGCCTAATGAATTAATCACTTTCTCCAAGTGGAGGGTGCTCTGAGGGCCGCCAGGCTGGCTCTGCTTCAGAAATAACCTGTAGGCTGCAAAGGTGTCAGCCCTGAAATTCTGCCCGATTTCAGCAAGGCTGTCATGTCTTGCTCTTCTGAAGCCTGGAGATATTTATAGAAAAATTAGCTTGGAGTGCAGAATTGCCTTGGAAAAATCCAGGATAGAGAAAAAGAATCCTTGCTTATGAAGGCTTAAAATAGTCTGATCAAAGAGTCAAGCCCAGAATTGCAGATGAAGCAATGACAGCATCTGATGAATATGAAATCAAAAAGTCTCAACCTTCAGATCCAGGGCACTCAGTGGAGGCCAGGGGTCCCTTGGCGAGAAACAGGAGCCAGCTTTGGCTCTGGGGAAATAGCTTGGCTTTTCTGGGGATATGGGCAGGGGAAGACAGGCCAGGAGAATGGGGGGCATATAGCGCAGGTGGCAGAGGGCACGCTTGGTGGTCAGCCTGTACGGTGGGGCGGGAAGCCAGGGTCTGGTGTGCAGGGGTCTGAGCTGTAGCAGAGAGGGTGGGGGGCACCATCTCCTGCAAGTTGGGACCTCAGACTCTCTAGGACCAGATCTCCCTTTCTTAAATATGTCAGTGGCAAATATACTGCTTCCTGTAGTTTAGGTTGGCTTGGTCAGGCCTCCCATGCATAGGACTTCTAAGCTCCTCAGTGGGTTTTGGGTTTTTTTTTGTGTGTGTGGGAGAGGTGTTTTATTTTGTTTTCTGAGACAAGATCTTGCTGTATAGCTCAGTCTGGTTTTGAACTCATGGCAGTCTTCCCGCCTCAGCCTCCCAAGTACTGGGATTACAGGCATGCCACTCCATACAGCTTTGCTTTTTTTTTTTTTTTTTTGTGACAAGCGCAGTTGGAGGAAGCCAGGGACTAATCCACAGGCTGCAGGCTTTCAGGATGCACAAAGCATTTATTGTGATTTTCTCTTGGTGTTCAGGAGGTCCAACCCAAGTATCTCGGTGTTCATGAAGAAGAAGGGCTTTGATGACTTCCGACAGCTGGAGTCCTTCTACATCCAGAAGTGAGGAAATAGGGAGGGTTACCTTCTTGGGGGTTCCCTGCTTGACCACCCCAGGCCCCACACACTCCATGGGTCCTGTGCTTGGTGCACATTGGATGAGTCCTAGGCAGAGGGAAGGCATTGCCTAATCCGGGAGATGCCAGCACCAGGCCATGAGTCCAGAGCCTGCCACTCCTGTCGTCACCAGGCTGCTGGACATTGTCTCTGCCTACAACAAGGGCTACGTGGTGTGGCAGGAGGTGTTTGACAACAAAGTCAAGGTGAGCCTAGGACGGAGAAGATGAGGAGCCCCTGGGAAGCTGCCTCCTGTCTCCTCTGCCCCCCAGCTTTGTTAGTTTTCATTTTGTTTATTTACTTAATTAGTTTTTGGGTTTTTTGACACAAGGCCTCACTGTATAGTTTAGGCTAATCATGAACTCACTATGTAGTTCAGGTTGACCTTGAGCTCCAGGCAATCCTCCTGCCTCAGCCTCCTGAGCGCTGGACTGTACTTGGCTGGCTTTAACAGTCTGAACAGTGGGATCATCGGTCATTCTCCTTTTAGAGATGCCAAGAGGTGTGAGCCCAAAGTTTGGGTGTCAGTGTCTGTCTCTCTCTTCTCATAATACAAACTGGTCACAGTTTCTTCTTGGGATCCCCAAGGCTGTCATGATTTTTCTGCCTGACTTGGGGTGTCTGGGTCCTATGGAACAGGGCCATTGTTGCCTTTTCTCAGTTGATCAGGGCAACTCCTCGCTCCTTGTCCCATAATGAGAAGTGTCTGAGATTCTCAGACATGGCGGCCCTGGACCCTGGGCTCACTGCTTATCTGGCCTACACAACCATGCCGCCAGGGAACAGGGAGCCGTCACCCCTGGGCCCTGGTAGCTCATGGAAGAATGAGGCCCAGGAATCTGCCCAGCTCTCTGCCCTTGCTATCTTGCAACCTCTTGGGACAGGTTCGGCCGGACACGGTTATCCAGGTGTGGCGGGACAAGAAGCCGGTCACCTACATGGAAGAAGTGGCACTGGTCACCAAGGCCGGCTTCCGGGCCCTGCTCTCAGCACCCTGGTATCTGAACCATATTGCATACGGCCCCGACTGGAAGGACATGTACAAGGTTGAGCCCCTGGACTTTCAAGGTGATCCTGGCACTGTCCTGGCTGCCTGGAGAGCCCGGGTAGGGTCCAGAGTGGGAGGCAGGGGTCTGGGGCAGACATGGCAGGTTTGGCAGAGGGGTGACCCAGCTGGAGAATGGGGTCTTGGGGAGGGTGATTGAAAAAGGGAACTATGAGTCCTCTGCCCTCTCACCAACTCATCATTTCCCCCAGGAACCCCTGAGGAGAAGGCGCTGGTGATTGGGGGAGAGGCTTGCATGTGGGGCGAGTGGGTGGACAGCACAAACCTGGTCCCCAGGCTCTGGTAAGGAGCTTTAGGGAAGCTGGAAGGTTGGGTTTGAGGACTGGGTTCCCCCTACAGATCCAGTCCTGTCCGCAGTCTCCAGGCCTGTGCCCTCCTTCCGTACCCATGCAACACTCAGCTCCCACATGATTCCTGTATCTGTCCCTTCATCCCAGTGACTGTGTAGAGTGACTCTTGTCACTCTCGTCACAGACAGAGATAGGGCAGCCTGGCCCATACCAGTGCCTTGTTCAGGATCCAAGACCCAGCCTGCGGTTTCTGGGAGACCCCTCTTCCTTGGCAGCCTCCCAGAGCATAGTCGGGGTCCTGAGTTTACGTAAAACCATCTGGTTGTAGCTGGGTGTGATAATGTGGGACTGTAATCCTAGCACTTGGGAGGCTGAGGCAGGAAGATTGCTGATAGTCTGAGGCCAACTTGGGTTACTGGTGCCTTTAAAGCTATCTCTTGTCCTACATCTTTGGGAGAGAATGAAGGTGGAGCTCCACACTGGCACATTTTAACAAAAGGGAGCAGAACCCCAGAGCTACCTGGGATCCCTACAGCTAGGCTTTACCCAAAGCAGGGTGGCCCTGGGCCCTAAGCTGGTGTGGGACCCACCCCAAGGAATGTGGGTGTCTGGCACCCTTGCAGGGGCACGGAGCTCAGCCTGCTTGTTGCTTGCTCTTACCCAGGCCCAGGGGAGGGGTGGTCGCCGAGAGGCTGTGGAGCAGCAACCTGACCACCAACCTGGACTTCGCCGAAACACGCCTGACACACTTCCGCTGCGAGTTGTTGAGGTGATGGGGCCTCCCCCAGAGAGGGGGGCAAGGCACACTGTGTCATTGGGTCATACCACAGCCCTTTGGTAGGCAAACTTTATTCCCATTTTATTTTTCTGTGATGCTGGGCTTGAACTCAGGGCCTCCCATACGCCAAGCAAGTTTTCCACACTGGGCTTGCTGGCCAAGACAGGATTGCCACAAGTTCAAGACCAGCCTTGGTTACACAGTGAGTTTAAGAGTGGCCTGAATTACATAGTGAGACCCTGTCTCAATAAAAAAAAGAAACAAAGTAGCTGAAGCTGGACATGGCGTGGGGCCCCCCTGTAATCCCAGCACTAGTAAGGCTGAGGCAGGAAGATTGACGCGAGACCAGCCTGGACTATAGCAAGACCCTGTTTCAAAAACATTAACAAAAAATGAGGTTCTGCCTCTCCACCTCTCCAAAAAATGGAGATGGAGAGGCAGAACAGATGGCCTTGCAGATCCAGATTGCTGCACAGTTACCAGGCCTCTGCTTCTTTACTAACTTTGCTCTTTGGGGCTTGGGCATAGACAGGCAGCACAGGTCTCAAGTGTTTGTGTGCAGGGCCAATCTGAGGTTCCAGAAGTGGGGAGGGGACTGTGAGTGCCATAGAGGTTGTGTTGCGGGATCTGAGCCCCCCGACTCCCCTTCCCTGTGTCCTGTGTAGGCGGGGCGTCCAGGCTGAGCCCATCACTGTCGGCTACTGTGAACAGGAGTTCGAGGAGACCTGAGCCTGCAGCCCTGGCACCGAGGTGGGTGCTGCCTTCTACCGCATCTCAGCCGGGGGACAGAGCGCTTCGCCTGTGAGCCCCATGGCTGGAAAGAAGGGGCTGGCGCTGGCGCCGGCAGTCAATAAAGAGCGATGTGATATTTTCCATAGTGAGCACGGATTATCTGTGTTAAAGGAAGGAGTGAGTGGCTTGGCACAAGACTCTGAGAGCTGCCTTATCTGCAGCTTCAGGATGGGTTGCTGAGGGTCTTAATATTAAGGACTAGGAATAAAACAAAGGCCTCTGTGCTTCTCTTTTCTTTCTTTTTTTCTTTTTCTTTTTGTTTGTTTTTTGAGACAGGGTCTTACCATGTGGTTCCGGTTTGCCTTGAACTCACTGTGTAGCCCCAGGCTGGCCTTGAACTCTCAGCAATCTTCTTGCTTCAACCTCTCAAGTGCTGGGATTTGCAGCACTTTGCCTGCCCTGCCTCTCTGCTTTGCTAGAGCTCCTCACCCAGTTATCCTCAGCCTGGTCACTGCACTGCTGCACCCCACCTCCAAGGCTGTCTGTGGTTGGGGACCTTGCAGGGGCCTGAAGGAATTCTGGGTGGTGGCCCAAGTGCTAGCCCCAGCTGGGGCACATACTAGCCTCTCACACCTTTCCCCTAGAACAGCATTCTTTCCTGTTGTTACTATTTTAATATTATTCAGTGGCTACTTTAAAAATTGTCAGCTCCTGTACAGTACATGCCAGTCATATTCATTGTGGGGAGGTGCACTGAGTCCATAACCCTTCTCTATTCTGTTTACGTCCTCTTCCCCTCCCTCCCTGCATCTCTTGTCCCCTTCCCATTTGCAAAAATGCATCTCCCTGCTTCCGGTTGTCTGTCATCCACTTTTTAAATGTTACTGAGCTCCTCCTGGAGTCCAGGCACCAAGAGAAGCGTTAACTCTGAAATAACACAGGCAGCTTCTGCCTCTCCACCTCAGCTATCAGCCCAAAAGTGTCCAGCTGGATGTCACAGATGATGCCATGACAGCTGGGAGCTGGGGGCAGGGGCAGGCGAGCAGCCTTCTCTAGGGGGAAATGTCTCACTGTGGTCTTAGACTACCACCAGCTGCTCTCCCATTCAGGAGCAACACTGTAAGCCAGAGATTGGGACAGTAGTTTACAGTATCTGTTGGGAATAAAGATTTTGTTGGACATTATTACATTCTTTTCCCTTTCCTGGGGCTGGGAAGACCATGGAGAGTCCTGGGCCTTTGTCTCAGAAGCTCAGAGAAGGGGACAGAGGGAAACCTAGACTTTCAGCACCATCCCCTATTCCATTCATGTTCTCTGGGGACCTAGTTAGCTACAAACCAGCCTCATGTCTCAGGCAGTAGTGTCTGCAGGGACCAAGGTTAGCACACAGTCATGCTTGGCCACAGCCAGGGCTCCACACCTTTACCGCCAAGCAGCCCCTTACCTCTGCCTCTCTACCTGGAAGCCTTTGAGGTGATCCCAGCAAGGCCCCTATAGAAATGCTGCTACCCTCACCCTGCTTCCCTGCAGTTGGAACCATTGTCCCTGTTGTTTGGAGTGATGTGAACTAAAAAGGGAAGGCACTTAAGTTGTAGGATCACGAAGCAATAAACATGAAAACACTTGGTTTATAGCATAAAGGCTCTTATGATTTCTTGCTCTGACCATAAACATTTTTCCCAGTGTTACTTTTACCATCAAGTTGTCAGGCACCATTGACTCACACCTCAGCTATTTAGGATGCTGAGGCAGGAGGATCACACCTTTCACAATTTAGCCAGGTCCTGTTTTTAAAAAATCAAAAGGGCTAGGGGTAGAGAGTGCTTCTGTAATAGGCAAAAGCCCAAAGTTCTATCCCAGGAAAAAGTTAATGTAGCTTGGTCAGGACTGTTAGGAGAAAGGGCCAATGTCCCCAACTTCTACTATAGGGTCTTCTGTGTGTCCCCAGCTCCCCTCACCAGGGCTCTGTTTGCAGCCCTACCCCTCATGCAACCCCTCAGGTTGGCGCGATACCCGCCGTGCACTATCAGGTGCCGGAAAGCACCCAGACTGGTTGCCTGGCTCCAGCCAGCCTAGAAACACCTCGCCCAGCCCTGCTGTTTTGGCTTGGTGAGAGGGGTGGCACAGCTCACAGCAGCTAAATCTGGGAGCCCATCTCTGTGTCCCTCCACAGGTGAATGCAAAAAGAAAAGTGATGGGCAGTGTGGTGGCAGTGCTGGTTCTAATCATCATGTCATCATTCCCCACTGATCCTGAGCCATGATTCCATGCACCATGGCCACTAAAATCCAGAAATGATCTTTGAATTTCTTCCTATCACAGTTGGTCTCAAGATGTACCCACTCTAGGTCAGTACTCAAATCCACTCACAGCTCTGTAGCTACACTGCCATCATCTGCATTTAGCTGTATGAGATCTACCCTGAACTTAGGAGGGGATCCTAAAACAAACCTGCCGCAAGTTTTCCAGTCATCTAAAATTTGTATTTTAATTTCTTTCTTTCTTTCTTCTTCTTCTTCTTTTTTTTGAGACAGGGCCTCACTGGGTAATTCATGCTGTCCTTGAACTCACTGTAGCCAAGCTGACCTCCAGATCATGGTGATCCTCCTGCCTGAGTCTCTCAAGTGCTGGGAGTACAGGAACGTTAATTTTTCAAAGCCACCCCCATTGCTGGCTGTAATAGTGTATACCTGTAATCTCAGCATTGAGCAGGCTGAGGCTAAAAAATTGCTGAGGGTTTGAGTCCACTCTGGGATACATAGCGAGACTCAGTCTCAAAAGAAGAAAAAAGAAAAAAACTACAACAAAATTCCATTGTCCAAATCACTCAGCAGAGTGTGCTAGTTTTCCTCTTTAAAACGTTTTGTGTCAAGTTCCTGTAATTGCTCCATCTGTACTTATTCCCTGCTAGGAAATAAAATGGCTTTAGCAGAAGAAACATGTCAATTCTACATCTTCACACATTCAGATTTCTGAGTTATGTAAATCCAGACAGATGTTATGCCTCATGGAATCTGGAGAAGACAATTACATGATCACAGGATTAAACCTAAGAAACAATGTTAAAGAATTTCATGGAGAAAGTTATTCAACTTTTGGGAAGACATGAGATGCCCCATATATAGAATTACAACATGTTCAAGAATGAGAAGACTGAATATCAAAAAATACTAATGTTAAAAATGTTAACTGAACTTCTAAAAAAATTTAAGACAGGGCCTTGCTATGTAGTTTAGGCTGGTCTTCAACTCATGATGTAGCTCAGGCTGGCCTTGAACTCACAGCAATCCTCCTGCCTCTGCCTCCCGAGTGCTGGTCCTGGTGCAAAAATGTTTTATCTGTAGATTCAGTGTGATTCCATTGAAAATACTTCTTATTTTTTAAGTTTTCAAACTTCATCTTAAGTGAAAAAGCAAATGGCCAAGTGCAACAGTCAATTTTTTTTTCTGGTACTGGGGATCAAACTCATGACTGCGCTTGCAAGGCAGGCGCTTATGCCACTGAGCTAAATCCTCAGCCATAACAGTTCCTTTTTAAGAAGAGGAAGATTTGCAGTTGCATTGATACCCGATCAGTGCACAGAGTTCTTTTTTTTTTTTTTTTTTTTTTTTTTGAGACAGGGTCTTTCGCTATGCAGTTCAGGCTGGCCTTGAGCTCACTTTGTAGCCCAGGCTGGTCTCGAAATCTCAATGATCCTCCTGCTGACTCAAAAGATCCTCCCGAGTGCTGGGATTACAGGCATGAGCCACCATGCTCAGCTTTAGTGCACAGTTTTAATAGATTTCATTTATGCTCAGATATATACAGATTTCATACACACAATTTATGGCCAACATCTACTCTGGTCAGTGCAAGCATTCATTGTTTTGAATAACAACATGGCAATGTCAGCTGTCAAAAGCTACTATAAAACTAACTACCACAGGGCATGGTGGCACATGTCTGTAATCCTAGCACTTAGGAGGCTGTGGCAGAATTGCCATGAATTCAAGGCCTGGGCTACATAGCCCCTGTCTCAAAAAACTAGATATAAATCTACAATTATCAAGAGCTGGTATTGATGCAGAAATAGACAATTCTGGCCAGGAGGTTATAATTCCAGCACTCAGGAGGCTGGGGCAGGAGGATCATGAGTTCATGGTCAGCCTGGACTACATAGTTCAAGGCCAGGTGGAATACACAGTGAGATATTGTAACACACACTCAAAAAAAGACAGTCCCATAAAACAGAACATATAACTGGGAAATAAGTTTATATAGAATTATAAAAATACACAAATCTCATTATGAAGTAGGGTGTAAGCTTTGGGTTTTTTTTTTTTTGTTGTTGTTGTTTTTTTTTTTTGTCTTTTTAAGATGCAGTTAGGGCTGGCCTCAAACTCAGTGATCCTCCTGCCTCCACCTCCTGAGTGCTGGGATTACAGGTGTGCGTCCTGACAGTGGGGGAGTGAAAATTTCTGAAATTAGAAATCAGGTTTTGAATCTCCTATCTCCACACAGAACAACAAAAGTGAACTTAAGAACAAAAAGCCACATTCTTCATTAGAACAAGAGAACTTAACTACCTGCATATATTAAATAGATCCTCCAAACTATCAAATGATGGAGAAAACATATTTCCATGACACATAAAGACCACCTGAAGAAATTCATGACCACCAAATCATCACTGCAAAAACTTTTCAAGGATATCCTAGAAAGAGACAGTGAAGTTAATAATAAGATGACAGAGTTAATGCACAAGGTACAGTGAGCAATTAAAGAGAAAGAAGGAATCGGTAATGGGAAAATAAGGCAATGACAAGAGTAAATTTTAAAAATACCTATCAGTAATAGTTTTCTATGTGAATGATCTCAATTCCCCAATCAAAGGACACAGACTGGAAGAATAGATCAAGAAACAAAATCTAACAGTATGCTATATACAAGAAACACATTTAACTCAAAAATTCATAGGCCTGGGGATGCAGCTTAGTGGTACAGCATTTGGCCTAGTATGTGAAAGATGCTCAGTTCAAACCCCAGCACAACAATAAATATAAATTATCAAAGTATAGAAAACATTTTATGCAACAGGAACCTGAAGAAAAGAAGTACAGTCATCCTATATTCAGATGAAGTGGACTTCAAAACTAATCAGACAAGGGAAAAAAGGTCACTATATATTGGTTAAAGGAACAATTCAACATGAATAGATAATAATTATTAACATGTGCACCAAACAATTGTACGCCAAACTTCATAAAACAAGTACTACAGGGCATAAAAAATCAGATAAAACATGATTATCATGGGGGATCTCAATACCCAAGTGTCACAAATAGATCAATTAGACCAAAAAAAAAATTTTTGAACAAAATTAGAGTCGAACAACACCTTCAAACAAATGGACTTAGTAGATATTTACAGTGTTTTATTCAACAGTTGCCACTTAAAACTTCTCCCCATAACTTAAAACTTTCTCTAAAATAGACCATCTACTAGCCAATAAAGCATGCTATGTAAATGTGAAAGAATTAAAATGATATGCATTTATCGAATCACAGCTCCATTAAACTAGGAATCAATGGCAAATGAAAACAGAAATTATGGAAATTAAACAGTACCCTCTTGAGTAATCAGTGGGTTACTGCAGAAACCAAGGAAGAAATAAATTATTGTTTGGAAGAACTGAACAATAATGCCAGTACAACATGCTAGAACTTACAGAGCAAAATGAAAGCAGTTCTAAGAGAAAAGTTGATAGCTGTGAATGCCCATGTCACAAAAATAGAGCAAGCCCAAATAACCTAATGATGCCCCTCAAGGTAACAGGAAAACAAGAACAATCCAAGTGTAAGCAAGTGTAAGAAAGGAAATTATAAGGATCAGAGCAGAAATTAATGAAATTGAGGCTAAAAAAGCCTCCACAGAATCCATGAATCAAAGAATGAGCAAAAAAAAAGATAAATCTTTACTCAGCTTTACCAAAAAAAAGGAAAGAAGATCTAAATCAGATCAAATAAAAGTAAAAAGGTAGCTGGCTGTGGTGGAACACACTGTCTGTAATGCCAGCAGTCAGGAGTCTGAGGCAGGAGGATTGCGGTGAGTTTGAGGCCAAGTTCAACTACACAAGGAGTTCAAGGCCAGTCTGAACTACGCAGTGAGATCCTGTCTCAAAAAAAAAAAAAAAACAAAAAAGTGAAATCACGATCGACACTGCCAAAATTCAGAAGATTATTAACAACTACTTCACAAACCCTTATGTCAATAAATTGGAGCATTCAGAAGAAACAGCAATATGAATTACCAAAACTGAAGCAAAATGATATGATAATCCTGAATAATCCAACAAAAGGCAATAAATTAAAGTAGTAAGAAAAACCCAGGTTTCAGCAGATTCACTGCTGAATTCTACAAGAATTAGGGATGATCTCATACCGATACTCCTCAAGCTCTTCAATGAAATTGAAAGGGAAGGTGTATCCTCAAATATATTTCTAGAAGCTACCATTATTCAGATTTCAAAACCAGACAAGGATCCAACCAAAAAAAAAAGAACTATAGACCAATGTCTAATGAATATAGATGTAAAAATCCTCAACAAGATCCTGGCAAATGGAGTGCAACAAATCATAAAAAAAGATCACACTGGGGCTGGAGATTTAGCTCAGCGGCATAAGCACCTGCCTGGCAAGCAGGCGGTCGTGAGTTCAATCTCCGGTACCGATAAAAAAAAGCGCGCGCGCACACACACACACACACACACACACACACACACACACACACACGATCACACATCATGATTAACTAGGCTTCATTCCACGATGGCTCAACAGATGCAAATATCTAAACGTAGCCCATCACATAAACAGATGCAAGGACAAAAATCACATGATCATCTCAAGAGACACAGAAGAGCCTTTGACAAAATCTAACATCTATTCATGATTAAAATACTGAATTACCCAGGCATGGGTAAGTAGCACTCCCAGCACCCAGGAGGCTGAGGCAGGGGCATTACTGTGAGTTCGAGGCTGGCCTGGACCACAAAGTGAGTTCAAGGCCAACCTGAACTGCATAGTGAGACTCTGTCTCAAAAAGACAAACAAAACAGAAACCTGAAGACAACAGGTATACAAGGACCTTATGTCAATCTCATAAAAGCCATTTAATGGCAAACCTACTGCCAACATTGTATTAAGGGGGAAAACTGAATGCTTTCTTTTTACAATAAGAAACCAGAGAAGGATATTGTAGGAATGCTTACTAAAGAAACAGATGTAATACAAGATAGAACACAAATGTGTGAGAATTTACAGGTTGGCTTACGAGGGCCACCCACAGAGTTGGGTGTAGAAGAGTGCAAACGGGCTGTCTGCATACTGGAGAGCCACAGATCCAGGGAAGCCTGGAGCTCTTTGTAGTGTCCCATGTGACTCTGTATCAGGAGACTGAAGAGTCTGTGCTGGAAGCCAAGACATGATGTCCAAGGTGAAAGCAAAGACTAGAGCTCCTTCAAAGGAAACAAAAGCAAGTCTTACGTCTTAGTTTCTATTTTAGACCATTCTGACAATACTCCTTGCTAGGGTGGCTTTTCCCCATCCACAGCTACAATGAGCCAATCTAGTTGGGTGTTACTCAAATTGACACTCAACTATCACAGATATCCATTGTCACCATCCTGTTCAACATAGCACTCAAAACATTAGCAAGAGCTGGGTGTGGTGATGCACCCTTGAAATCTCAGCACTCAGGAGGTTGAAGCAGGAGGATTGCTGTGAGTTTGTGACTACACAGTGAGTTCAAGGCCAGCCTGGACTACACAGCGAGACCTTGTCAAAAAAAAGAAGAAGGGAAGAAGAAGAAAAAGAGGAGGAGGAGGAGGAAGAAGAGGAGAAAGAGGGAAGAGGGGGAGGAAGAGGGAAGTGAGAAGGAAGAAGAGAAGAGGAAGAGGAGGAGCAGGGGAGGAAGAGGAGGAGGAAGAAGAGGAGGGGAGAAAAATATTAGCAAGGGCAATCAAACAAGAAAAACAAAAATAAGCCAAATTATTATTTACAGGTTATATGATTCTTCACATAGAAAATCCAAAAAATTCTATCAAAAGACTTCTAGAATAATAACTAAATACAAAGATGTAAAATTACACAAAAATCAATATTTCTATACAGCAAAGGTGAACTCACTGAGGGACTGGGGATTTGGCTCATTGGTAGAACATATGTCTAGCAAGCTGGAAGCCCTGGGTTTGGTCCTTAGCACCAAAAAAAGAAATCTAAAAAAAAAATTGATGAACTCACTGAGAAATTAGAAAAAATTACAACTCACAATAACACCAAGAAAAATTAAATACTTAGGAATTAATCTAACAAGGAAGTTATAATGGTTAATATGTTATGTCAATTTGAGAAGTTTAGAGGTTTAAGTGACTCAGCAGGGGAATAGGGTCTTCACTTTGAAAAGATTCTGCTACACACACATGGAGGTGCTTACAATAGAAGAAAAGAGGCTTGCTTCACACCATTTGCTTTGGCTTTTGCTTTTGCTGCCACGAACTGTTGCCCCTTTGCCATGCCACCCTGCCTTGGAGCTAATTACAGACTGGAAACTCTGTAAACCTGTGAGGTAAATAAATCTTTCCTTCCTTGACTTTCACTATCAGGTATTTTGTCCCAGCATTGAGAGAAAAGTAACCAAAATGGAATTTAGTACCAGAAATGAAGTTGTCACTATAACACTACCTGACTGTGTGGTTCAACAGCCTTTGGGAATGGCTTGTGGGAAGAGTTTGGAAAGGTTCATAGATGGGAGCTGAAGGAGTAGCACTGGAATGCCTTAGGCTGTTCTGTATGGGAGATTTTGGTCAGAGTCCAGAAGACCGGAAGACTGATACAAATACTGCTGGTAAAGACCAAACTCAGGAGATTTTTGCTGGGAAGAAGGACTGCCTTGGCTGCTGGACTGTAGAAAACATATGGCTTGGCAGAAAGTTTGTCTGCATTTTCCTTGTATCCAGAGACCTTGCCTGAGCCCAAAATTAAGAGTGGTGGAACTAATCTGGCAGAAGAAATTTCAAGGCAGTCAAATGTTGATGTGATGGCATGGCTATTGTTGGGGGATTTTAGCCATATTTATGATGCAAATCAAGAACACAGGACCCAGTAGAATGATTTAAAATGTTTCAAGTTTGATCAGAAAACTGTGGACTGCAAAGACAGATTATAGGAAATATGGATTGCTGAGAAGGAACAGAAAAATAGAAAAGATGGCCTGAGGGCTTCTCCACCTTTTGCTGCTTCAAAACTGCAAAGGTGAAAGACTGCTTTGAGGAGAATGCCATAGTATACCATGTTCCAGAATGGTGGCAGCAGAGAAAATCTGTTCCTCAGAGTTGGAATCAGAATCCTGTGACCCAAGCACTTGACCCCTACAGCCAAGAGAGAGGTAAAGGACTACGGCTCTAGCTAGCAGCACACTTTGGCATCATCCACATGGCACTGGTTTTAGGTGCACAAAAAATGCAACAGTTATGGGTTTCTGAAGGCTTCCAGCTCGATTTCAGAAGGCCTGGAGGCCAGGAAGTGTTCCCCTGAGAGGGAAACATGTGAAGCTGTGAGGGTGAGGACAAAGATGAGTGGAGACCCCAGAAGTTTGAAGAAGCCAGAAACATGGATTGTCTGACGAAAATTGCAATGAGGGAGTAGAGTAGGCCCAACAAAGAAGCTATGGGCCCTGTAACCACCAGACATGCCATAGTGGTGGAGTCGCTCAAACCCTTTGAAACTCACAATTTGCCAAAGATTACATCAGATGCTGGACATGAAACTATAGAACTTAATGTTTGCCTTGCTGGGTTTTGGGCTTGCTTTGGCCCAAATCCTTTGGATTCCCCTGTTGGTAACTTTTGGAATGAAAATGTTTAATCTTGTTCCATTGAATGTTGGAAGTGTTGTAACTTTTTTTTTTTTAAACTACAGCAAAAATTTAAAATACATCAGTCAGGGGGTAACAATGGTACATACATTGTGCATTGTCATTCCCAAATAATTCACCCAGAGCACACAAAACATCTACCTTCAATTGTCCAAACAATATCAGTACAAATCTTTCTCTTCAGTAAACTCAGAGAAATGAGTTGTATATCTTAACTATTATACACACACATACACACACACACACACACGTTTTTCTTTCAGCTTGTCGCACTAATGATACAATATTTATACGTGTGTCTTATTTATTTTACTAATAAGTATGTTCTCAAAGTGCATCCATTTACCTATAAAAGTGTCCAGCTTATCATTTTTTATAGCTGAGTAGTACTCTATTTTATAAATATGCCACATCTTTTTTATCCATCCCTCAGTCAGTGGGCATTTAGGTTGTTTCCAAGATCTGGCTATTATAAACTGTGCTGCTAATAATCATGGGTGCACATATATCACTTTGGTATAACGTTTTTAATTCTTTTGAGAAGAAGGGGAATAGCTGGGTTGAATAGAACCTCTAATCCTAGTTTTTTGAGGAATCACCACACTGATTTCCACACCTACACTGCACCAGTCTGCAGTTCCACCAACAGTGGAGAAGGGTTCCTTTTTCCCAGAGCCTCTCCAGCATTTGTTATTGATTGATTTCCTGATATTAGCCATTCTTTCCAGGGTGAGGTGGAATCTCAGTGTTTTAATTTGCATCTCTTGAATGACCAGTAATGTTGAATATTTTTTCACATATTTATTTGCTGTTTGTATTTCTTCATGTGAGAAGCATGTATTCATTTCAGATGCCCATTTTTTTATTGGGTCTTTAAATCTGGGAGGACTGATTTCTTTGAGTTCTTTATTTATTTATTTTTTTGGTACTCGGGATCAAACTCATGATCTCACATTTGCCAGGCAGGCGCTTACACCACTGAGCTAAATCCCAGGCCCTCTTTATATGTTCTTGATAGTAACCTTTTGTCTGAGGAACAGCTGGCAAACATTTTCTCCCACATTGTGGGTTGTCTCTTCACTCTGTTGGTTGTGCAAAACTTTTCAGTAGGGCAAGATCCTATTCATTGATTCTTTGCAATAGTTCCTGTGCAACCTGGAATTTGTACGTAAAGTCTTTGCCTCCACCAATGTCCCAAGACCAGATTCACTGGGTTTGCCGCAGTCCAAGCAGTTTCCAAGGGTCTGTGACCAGCTAGGAGCTGCTGGAGGAAGCTGGCAGAAGTTCTGGTTCCAGGCTTATCCAGCCCAACCTCAAAATGGCTCCGGGCCAATCACTTTCTCCGCAGTGGGACTGAGTCCTTTGCATTCACCACCAGCCTGTACAGGCCTCCAGATCTGCTACTCCCCTCCACTGCCATGTCTCTCTGCAGTGTCCTCCAGAGTTGCCAGATACCACCATCACCGTGACTGCGTGTTGCCAGGTTCCAACAGCTCCTCTTGGAAAGTTAGTCCAGCTCTGGGTGAAGGCACCACCAGCTACTGCCTTCTTCTTCGTTAAAGTTTTTCTTTTTACTCTCTCTGTGGGCTTCAATTCACACTTCAGATTCTTCCTGGGTCCAGGGACCCACTTCCTTGCTTCTTGTCTTCCTCATGATGCTCGATTCCAGTGTCTGAACGATGACTTTCAGGCTGTCTTCTTTGCTTGGAAGCATTTAACTTTTAATTGATACTGGGTCTTGCAGCTCAAGTTTGTCTTATAGCTTGGAGGAGATTTTGGACTTGGACTTTTCAGCAATGCTAAAACTGTTATGACTTTGGGAACTCTTAGAGATGAGCTAAATGCCTTTTGCATAAAGGAATGTACATGAATTTTGGGAGGGCCAGAGGTAGAATGTTATGGTTCTAATGTAATGTAATGTTGATAGATTTAATACTGGTTCTTACCGGGGATCGAACTCATGACTATGTGCTTGCAAGGCAGGCACTTGTGCCGCTGAGCTAAACCCCCAGCCCTTAATATTGGTTCTTAAAGATTGTTAAACCTGTGTTATATTTTTCAAGTTATGAAATGATAAAAATAAGCATGTCAGAGTCAGCGATTTAGCTGAGTGGTACAGCGCCTGTCTGGCAAGTGCAAGGTTCTGAGTTTGATTCCTCATAGCCACTCTTCCAAAAAAATAGAATAAGTATGTCTTTGTATCCAGGAATGTGTTTAAAGAAATATGTCTGATTGCCAAGTTGACATAGGGTGCATTGTATTAGTTAATACACTGTTCCTAATACATTGGTTAATACTTGAGTTTAGAAGTTTAACTAAGAGACTCAGCAGAAGGCCAGGGTCCTCACATTGTAAACCTCCTTATCTCGTGCAAGAGGAAGACATGGTTCCATACTGTGTGGGGTGCAGAAAAAAAAGAGGAAGACATGGAGATGGTGTGAGAGCTGCACATGCTGTAAGATGGGTAACCTGCTTAAAAATGTAAGGGAGGAAAAGAGACTTGATTTTCCCCCTCTCTCATTTGCTCTTGTTTCTTTTGCTGTCTTGTATTACCTGAAACTGTTGCCCTTCTGCCTTGCCACAATGCCTTGGAATCAGCAGATAACAGACTGAAACCTCCACAAACTGTGAGCTAAATAAACCTTTTCTTCTTCAACTTTCTTTCTTGAATATTTTGTCCCAGCAATAAGAGAAAAATAAGACAGGAGTGAAACACATGTCCAGTGAAAACTAGAGTATCCTGGAAAAGGAGATTGAAGATGACTTAGAAAATGGAAAGATGGGCCTTGTTCCTGGATAGGTAAGTTGATATACAGATTTAACACAATCCCAATCAAAACACAAACAGTATTCTTCACAGAATGGGAGAAAACTATTCTAAAATTGATATATAACTAGGAGAGATTCAGAATATCAAAAACAATCCTGAGGAACAATAGCAAAATGGGTGGCATCACAATTCTGAATTTGAAGTCATACTATAAAACTATAGTGATAGAAACAGCATAACACTGGCACAAAATCAGACAGGACAATCAGTGGAACAAAACAGCATGTAGAAACAACCAATCCCAAACACATTCAACTATATGACCTTTGACAAAGGGGTCAGAAAACGTAGAGTGGATCTCCAAAATGCATGGAGGTTATTTCTTAGAGCGCCCAGAAACTGTGAAAAACTGCAAATTTCAGATGGGTTTGACCGAAGTGAGGACTGAAGGTAGCAGCGAGGTACCTTGCCTAAGTGATCTCAAGACTGGGGCAGATAGACCCCTGGGAGGGCCCTTACTTTTTCTAGGTCATGTAAGGATCCTTACCATACAACATTTTCCTGACCTTTGGGTGCTCAGAACAATTCTGAACTCAGGATTTGGCAAGACAGAGCATAACCCTATTCATTCTTGGAGAGGACTATAAAAGCCAGGAAACCAGTGGCAGCAGTACCCAGAGAACTATCTTGGAAGCCAACCTTGAAGTCCTTGTCTCACAGGTTCCAGATAACCTGTATTTTACTTTTGTCTTTATGAATTTGCTTATTCAATATTATCTTTTTTTTTTTTTTTGGTCTTTTTCATTTTTTATCGGTACCGGGGATCGAACCCACGACCGCCTGCTTGCAAGGCAGGTGCTTATGCCGCTGAGCTAAATCCCCAGCCCCTTCAATGTTATCTTATGGGTTTCTGCATTATCTTCTAGAGCAGTGGTTCTTCTTTTAATCACCCTCTTTCCCTGTCCTGAAATATTGATATCTTTCTATACATCACCTCCATGGCAATGGCTCTCTTTTGTTCCACCTCTCAGCTTCAACAGAGACGCCCTTGGGATGCTGTTATCTTGTAACTTCTTCAGCAAAACAAAACAAAACCCACTGATGTGGGGTTTCTGCTGTGGTTTGCTTAGTTATAAAGAAATTATTTCTCAAGCTGAAGGCATTTATGTTTAGTTTTAAACAGGAGTTTAGTTTGTGATATTTGTGAATTCTTTTACTTTTTCTCCAAACAAGAATAGTATATAAACAGCAAGTAGGATGACTGCAGGGATTCTTTAAAATGTCTTCCAGCTTTGGCCACTATACGACAAGTACAGTTAAGACTACAGCAGTGACCTACAAATAATCATTATGATTTGACACGAAAGAGATGTTAAAACAGTACACAAATCTCAAAATCCTGGCTTATCCTGATATAGGTTTACTGGAGAACAAAGGTCCACTTTTTAAATTAAATCTTCAATATTATAAAGAAAAAAAACCCTGTAAATTTCAGATAGTGTCAGAAAAATGCCTGTAAATGCTTATTTTTATAGTTTAAATACTAAATATGCTGTATCTCCCACAATTATGTAATTTAATAAAGTACTATATTAGTAAAATCTTAGAAGATGCAGGGTGTTCTGGTAGCATTTTAGGGATCTTAGGGCTTTAAGAACAAAATTAGCCAGGCATGGTGATGCATGCTTGTAATGTCAGCACTCAGGAAGCTGAAGCAGGAGAATCGGTATGAATTCAAGGTCAGCATGAATAGTGAAACCCTGTATCAAAGAAGACGGAGGAGAAAAAGAAGGTAGAGGAGGAGGAAAAGGAGGAGGAGATGGAGAAAAGGAGAAGGGGGAAGAGGAAGAGGAGAAAGATGAAGAAGACAAAAAAGACCAAGAATATTCAGAGAGCAACCTGTTATGATTCAGAATGCTCATGCATCTGCCAGAGATGGGTTACAGGGCAGTAGCCAATCAACAGTAAGGAATCTAAATAATGCCTTCAGATTGGCTACTTGCAAATCTCCTGCCAAAAAAATTTTGCTGAGGATAGTTGTGGTTTCCATGGGATTGCACAATGATTAGTGAGGTTCTAAGGAAAACTGCACAAAGGATTGAAGTCATGAACTCTGAACTGAGACTTCATGGAGGTATACTGTACACTGAAGGAAAGATAACCTTTTCAATAAAAGGTGTGGGGAAACTGGCCTCCCAGTTGGAGAAGATTGACTCTATACCTACATTTCTCACCAAATACCAAACTAAAATCAAAGTAGATTAAATGCTAAATGCTAAAACAGAAACAATCCAGGGAAAGATAAACTTCTTCAAGTCACTGGCAAAGACTTTCTGAACAGAATCAGTTGCACAGGAAATAGTCTCAAGAATCAACAAATGGAATTGTCTCAAATTAAAAAGCTTTTGCATAGCAAAAGAAAAAAATCAACAGAATGAACACCCAACCTACAGAATGGGGAAAATTTTTTGCCAGCTGTTTCTTGGACAGAGAACTAATATCTAAAATGCACTGCACAAATAACTCAAAAAAAAAAGTAGACCTTCCCTCAAAAATAAAAGACCTGAGCTGGGCATGTCTGTACACATCTGTAATCCCAGCACTCAGGAGGCTGAGGCAGGGAGATTGTGTGAGTTCAGGGCCAGCCTGACCTACATCTTGAGTTTGAGGCCAACCTGAATAACACAGTGAATTCAAAGCCTGCCTGAACTACATAGCAAGACTTTGCCTTGAACAACAACAACAATGTGTTGGCAAAGCTGTAGGGGAAAAAGAACTCTTCTATATTGTTTATGGGAATATAAATTAGTATGATCACTATGAAAATCAGAATGGAGATTCCTCAAAAAAAAAAAAAAAAACCCTAGACATTCCATTCAACACCGCTATTCCCCTTGTACGTATGTTCCTGAAAATGTTGAAAATATCATGTTAAAGTTATACATGCACACCCCAGCATACAATTTATAACAGTTAAATCTTGGAAGCAACCTATATGTTCACCAAGAAATAAAAGTATGAATAAAATGTGGTATTTACACACAGTGGAGTACTACTCTGCCATCAAGGACAAACTTAAATCATAGGAAAATTTGATATACCTTGAGACTATAATATTTTTTATTTTTTGAGACTATAATATTAAGTGAAATTAATCAGACACACAAGCTTAAATATCACATGGTTTCTCATTCATGAGAAACTCAAAATATAAATAAAAAATAAATTATAAGAAGCGAGGAGATAGATCTTTCTCATATGAGAAAAGGGGAAAAATGGGAAGAAGATCAAGAGAGAGGTAGAGGTAGATCAAGAGAGAGGGTGCACAGTTGTAATCTCAGCACTTGGGAGGCTGAGGCAGGAGGATTACCACAGCTTTGAGGCCAGCCTGGGCTACATAGTGAGTTCAGGGCCAATTTGAACTGCATAACAAGACCTTGTCTCAAAAAAAAAAAAAAAGATGAAGGGAGAAGGAAGACACTAAAGGAGAAGGAAAGGCATGAAAAAAGAACTGAGATGTATTATGTACAGGTACCAAGGCCCCAAAAAGAGTAATCATTATATACACAAACCTACTAATAAAAACTAAAAACAAAAATCCTCCATAGATCAAACAGGAAATCTCTATGAAAAATACACTTAGAACCAAATGAAAGTAAAACATTCTGGTAGCCCATTTTATACTGAACTAATTACAAGGAAGAACTTTTTACTGGGGGAAAAAAAATAGCTGGGTGTGTGGTGCTATATACTTGTAATCCCAGCACTCTGGAAGTCCAAGGCAAGAAGATCATAGCTCCAGCCCAGCCAGGGCAATTAACTGATTTATACCCTGTCTCAAAACAAAAACAAAAACAAAAAAACAAGAAAACAACAAAAAAATTCTGTTTAACGGCCTGAGTGTCCAAGTGTGGTGGTTCATGCTGGTAGTCCCAGTACGTGGGAGGTTGAGGCAGGAGGATTGGCATGAGTTCAAAGCCAGCCTGTGCTACATAGTGAGACCTTGTCCCCCTCCAAAAAAATCTGGGCATGGTGGCACACTCCTATAATCCAAGCACTTAGGAGGCTGAGGCAGGAGGATCCACAGGAGTTTGAGGCCAGCCTGGGCTACATAGTGAGTTTAAGAACAGTTTGAACTATGAAGGGGGACCTCGTCTCAAAACACACACACACACACACACACACACACACACACACACACACACACGCACACAAACAAAATATAAATAAATGAATACATAAAGACATGAGTTCCAGCCATGGTAGCAGATTCCTGTAATCCCAGCATTTGGAATTCTTAGGATCACTGTGAGTTCAAGTCCAGCCTGAACAGAACTACATAAGGAGAACTTATCTCAAAAATAAATAAGGCAGATCAAGGGGTTTCTGCCACAGCCTTTGGCTGGGAAGGGAAACAGAGGCAGCAGCTCAGGGGAAATGATGCTGCAGTAGTGGTGGAAAGGTGACCAGTAAAGACGAGCAGCAGGGAACAAACTATCCCAAAGCCCTGGTCGTGACCAAGTGTAGGATGAGAGCACCATCACCGACTCAGTACTTCGATCTTGGGCAGAAGAATCCAGCTCAGGTGTCTTGGGATTGAGCCTGAGAAAGGTGAAGCCATAAATATGGAAGAGATAGGAAAAATCTTCAAGCAAGAAAAGGAAATGAAGAACAGAATTGCCTTTGCCACCAGCATTTGGTTAAATAACTGTACATCACACTTCTCTTTGAAGAGTGACCAGGGCTACATACGCAAGGAAGGTGACTTTGTCAAAACTGACCTTGGGGTCCAATGTGGATGGTTTCAGTGGCTTCAATGTTCATGTGGCTCCCACTTTTGTCACTGGCATGCCCCAGGGGACCCAAGTAACAGGGAGGAAAGAAGA